TAGCAAGTGCTTTGAAATTACAATAACTTTTTATGGGGCTTATAGGTTTTTCCATTCTGATTCAATATTTTTTTCGATTTTTAAGAAAATTACTATTCTTAGTGCATGAGAGGGTGCTTGAAATCGGGTTTCAGGTGGCAGCAACATTTAGTTCACTTTACCTGTTTCCTTCCCCATTTCCGACGATCCGCTCCACTTCACTCCATCCGACAAAACAACAAAACCGCAAATGCGACAAAAGCAGAATGCAATTCGCACTTGAAACTCTGTGGGGCCAACAACAACAACAACAACAACAGCAAGAAGTCCAGGATGCAAAAGAAAAGATCCTGCTAGAGCGAGATGGAGACATCGTGCATACTTTTGTGGTAAAAACAGAAAAAGAACTTTTGCAGGCAAACGTTCGCGTTTGCTTTTCCACTTTTCTTTTGCTCAGCGGCAAACTGCAGAGTTTCTTTTTTTGGGACTCCCCAATTTGCTGCAGAAAATGAAAATTTAAATTTTTAACCAACGCCGAGCAGGCTGGCCAGAAAGTTTTGCTGCCAGAGTTTTTGCTGCCATCGCGCTGCAGCTGGGAAATTTCACACATTTCCCACAGCGCATTTTCGCAACCTGTTTTTTGTTTTCCCATTATTTTTTTTTACTTTTGTTTTGTCAACGAACGAAGGAAACCGTCAAGCTGCTCGGGAGAGTGATGAATGGATGGAGACCTCGCCGTCACTTTAATTTAACATAATGAAAAGGAAAACCGGGATACCGAATGAAGTGTGATTGAAGCACGAAAGCGAAAAGGTCCTAGTCCCTCATGTTGGAAAGCTTCCTGGGGCAGGACTTTCGTTTTGCTTTTGTTTCGCTTTGCTTACGAGCTAACAACAATCATCAGTACACGGTGCCCCGGGCCAAGGAATGCACATCCGACACCGTGTATCCCGGCCACTTTCCCCGCCCATTTTCCCGGCTTTCCCGTTCTGTCAGCATGCAACAAATGCCTCGAGTGCATAACAGCCTGCCTGGCCTTACACGGCTAAAAAATCTTAATATTCTTGCATCATATTTTATTTTAACCGTCTTGGAAACTTTTGAGGTTGAGGATTGACCAATTAACTTGTTTATACTTAAGGAACCTAACGAACAATAAACCATTTTTAATTAAATTCTACAATAAGCATTTGCAAATTGTTTTCAAAATGTAGATAGTTCTACTTCAGTTTTTATTTTATTACAAAAATGTTGACAAATAAAAGTGGAGTTTAATAAAATAGATCAACTTTTTCTAGCTGTACAGGCTGCAAACTCTGACTCCGGCATAAATCATGGCTGGCATTTGCATGTTCCACAACCTCTTCCTGCATGCAGCTAATCTTCGTCCTAGCCCGGCCAGAAGTGCATCCTTTGTATGCCTTTTGTTTGCTTTACATGTACTTGGTCAATTAAAAAATGGCTTCAGTAGGGGGCAATTCGGATTTTGCATTGTCGAGCAATTAATATGTTCGGTCTCCGGTAGAGAAAGCATTTTTAATTGCATTTTCGCACGAAATGGCGCAATTTAGTTTGTCTTGGATTTTCACACCTATAAATATGTAAATTTTTCCTTTCACCTGCAGTGAAAGGAACACTTTTCTTCCTTTTCCCTAGATAAAATTAATTGCTGCTGCATTTGTGGGACTATCTAAGCTGACCCTAATTTGAATTGAAATTTACGTGCTTTGAAGTACTAAAAAATTTCAACGAAAAAATATCGAGTTTAACTCCAGAACCTTTTGCCTTCGGCCTCGGCTGAACAGCAACTGTTTCTTTATTTGGCCAAATAGAATTGAGTTCCCCTCGTTTTAGTCGCTCGAAAAGCCGAAGTAAAAATACTCCCTCGATGAACAACGCAGGCGCTAAGTTCGATTTCGAAAGCCGAGAGAATCTCGCCGAAAAAACAAGAGAGTTTCTAAAGAATAAACACTCAAAGAAGATTTATTTCTTATACGACGGGTCCCTAAAACTGCACCTCTTGTTGATGTTATGGTCCGACTGCTTATAAAATGCATGATCTATTCAAAAGTCGTATACATTTACCCAAATTCAATCTTAATTTTACGTTTGTTTCCAAAAGAAACTTATAATTTACTATCAAATAATAATTAAATACTCTTTAAAGTCCAAATGCACTTCGGCTATAATTACAATTTTGTGTAATATGTTGGTAGGAACGCAATCCATTGTCTTCTTCAAATCAACAAACTCTCAACTTTTCTAAAATTGCTATATTTAAAGGCACCCACAGCTCTTCCAGATTCATTTTTTTTTGTTCTGATTCAACTTGTAGGTCATGAATTCAACAATTTATACATTTTCTACATTTTTCAGCCCCATCTCAATTTGCATTCCTTCTCAGCCATGTACAAATATTTTCATTAGAAGAATAAATCTCAACGTTTATTCACAACCAGCACTGAAATAAAAATTCCGCAATCTGGTAAGGGAAAAAATATTTTTAATTTTGTTGATTGTAGTTGCCTATAACAACAACCACATCTACAAAGGTGCACAAAAAAATTCTTATCAACAAGCGTTGCAAAAATGTGTGCAATTAAAAACTCTCAGCAAAAAAAGAATAAACCAACAATAAAAGAAACAAGTAGAAAGACTTTTGGAAAGAGCAGAAAAAATGCAAATTCAGCAAAACAAACGTAGAAGAAATTAAAAGAAGCCCAAAGCAGGTCCAAGGATTCATTGGATTTTAATTAACAGAAAAAAAGAGATAGGGACAGAAACCGAAAACAAAGCCAAAGAACCTTTGGCAGATGTTTCTCGAAAACAAAAAAAAAGGATTCACATGCATATTATGTGCACTTTGCGATTTGTTTGTTTGTTTTCAGTTAGCTCTGTGACTTTGGCTTCTATTTCGAGATCAAAGATTTTCGTTACTCAATGCATAATTGCATTTTTGTTGAATCTTAAATACTTGATTTTTTGCTACAGTTTTCACTTTAACTAGTAATATCTGGTTGACGTTAATATTGCTTTAAAAAAACCGCTCTGTTTTTCCAACGTTTTTTGGGAGCTTGACAGAGGTTTACTCGAAATCTCTGGACGCTGGAAAAGCACACGAGTGCCGCTAGACTCGGTGATGAATCAAGGCCCCGGGATGCATTGCGGCACACACATTTTCCCATCAGCCCGTCGAGAATCCTTTCCAGTCGCTGGCGACACACGCACCGGGTCAATTTCATGCAACACAAACACGGGACGGAGCAGGAGAAGGGGGAGGGGCTCGGCAAAAAAAAGGGGGCGGGAAGCAGCTTTGCCGTCTTGCATGGAGGACACGTACTCCCTCGTTTTCCCCGCTTTTCCTTTGAGAGGCAGCCAGGCGGGCAGAAAGGCGAGCAGGTGCTCAGCTGTAACTAAACGTCCGTTTTAACATTGCCACCTGATGGCCCCGGTCCTTATTTTGCGGATTGTGGACAGTGGATGGGTGGATGGGTTTTGGAGCATGAGGCATGCGGCATGCGGCATGTGGCACATGTCAGTTGCTGGTCACGTCGGCTGCTGGGGCATAATTGATAGTTCAATCTGTTGCAGATCAAACGCTTGACAGCAGCCAACAGATCAAGCTGAAAAATTGCCCAAGAAAAAGATTGGCTCAAAATGTAAGATTACGGATATCTGTATCTTAATAACACCTTTGACTTCTTTTATGTAAATTGAATGGGGGTTGAGGTTATGCAAAGAAAAGCTTAGAATACTTGGAAAATAGGTAATTTATTGTATTGATTATTATATTAGAACTTTACTTTTATATACATAAACATTATGTACATATTTTATATACATAAAAATTGTACACTTTTTTTTTTGTTTGTTACTCTTTCCATTTAAAAATCTCTTTAAATATCTGCACTTAAATATTCCCACTTTTCCTGTATACAACTTTATATTTATTTTAATGGCTTTGGCCTTCCAGGCTGGACTATATTTTTTCAAAGTTCGAGAGAGTTTGTCAACCCAATGGCGCCTGAGGGATCGGGGAAAAGAAGCTTAACCAGACGCTCACAGATAAAAATCCTCCAGCCAAATAGATTTTCATGCTTTTAAGTAATTTTCCGTACAAATTGAAAGTCTTTGAATAGTACGCTATGGAAGTGCAGCTTGCGAGCGTCCTTTAAGCCAAATATGTTCTTTAATCCCAATAAATTATTGTTTACATTTTTATTTCCACCTTTTTGTTTGCTACTCATGTTTTGTCGCTTTATTTTAATGGCTTGCTGCGCATTTAACTTCTAGCTTCATTTATGTTTATGTGCGTATTTTTATTTGTGTAATTTTCGCGTCAAGTGCTGATCATAAATTGTGACACGAACTTTGGAGCCGGAAAGGTCACGTTGGCTCATTAAAGTCCCAACAACAGTAGGAACTCGAACCAGAACAATAAATGTAATAACAGGAGCAATAAGAGTCACAAAGGAAGCACACAAAACACATGGCAACAGGATAAAATGATTCACCTTTAAAGAGAACGAATATAAAATGACAATCATTTTCACAGCAAGACGTGTCTGCAAGTCTTTGTAAAAAATTAATATAGACTACTCGTTTAAAGAACAACCCAATAAATCTTTTGGCTTTGTTTATTTTTGGATCCAACTTCGTAGGTTATCGCATATTGTGACGTCATGATAAGACTTTAAATACGTAATTGGTGTATCTATAGATTAGAAAACCACAAAAAGGGGAACCCAATTCGTTAGTGTCTTTCTCCGCGCGTGTTAATATACAACTAAAACTAAATAATGCATAGGTTCAAGATAACAGAAAAATCACAATTTAATCACATTCAATTATTTAGATTAAAAATTCAACAAAAAGATTTCTATTGAATTTTATTCTATTTCCTAATAAATCTTATCAGGCTGCCATTAATATGAGCTATCAATTTGATATCAGGAAGACACCTCGAACTGTAGACAAATAGTTGGCCCAGTTAAAGAGTCAGTACCGAGTTTACTGCAGAAGAGGAAACACTTCTTAAAAATAATATCAAATAGAAAAATCCTATGGAAGGTACAAGTATGTTTATAAGTAAAAATTTATCTAAAACTATATATCACAAAGATATATGATCAGCTTTAGGACACTTTGACTATCTTATAAAGACATGTCTTCAAATGGTTTAAATATGTATAACCTAACGAGTGCTTAATTATTTCAGTTAAGTTTTCCAACCTTTTGCCATGGCTATTGATGGTCATAGCTCTATTCTGGAGCTGGAAACTGAACGTTTTGGCCCTGCCGAAGGACGAAGGGGGCCATAAAACCTGTGACAATGAAGAGCGATACGAAAACCAGGTGATGTGCGAGGACAAAGACTTTGGGGCTTTGGTTCCCTATCCGGATAATTGTAGTCTGTTCCTGGTGTGCGATTGTCTCTACCCCACTGTGAAGATATGTCCAGCGAATCTGTGGTGGGACAACATCACTCAGCTATGTAATTACCCCCAAGCTGTGGATTGTATTTACTATTCGATTGAGACCCCTGTGCCGACCGATGGTACTACTCGTATTACGAAAGAGCCAACTTCCAGTACCGAAGAGATAACCAGCGAAAGTTCTGCCAGAACCGAAGAACCTACGACGACTTCCTCAAGTAATATTCCAACTTCTAGTTGGGATCCACCACCTGCTCCACCCGGAATTTCTGAGGATTACTGTCATAACGTTAAGGATGGCACCCTGTTTCCTTATCCCTATGATTGTCAGGCCTATATCAATTGCACATTTGGCTGGCCTGTGCTCAATTATTGCATTGAAGATAAGGTCTTTAATAAGTACCTACTTATTTGCGATACTCCCGATGAAGCTGATTGCGAAGAGCTGCCTTTACCAACAACAACCACGGAAATATCAACAACCACAACCGAAATTTCAACAACTACAACAGTAATACCTACCACTTCAACTACTGAAGGCGATGTGGTTTGCGGTCCAGCTCCAGAAGGAATAAATGATGATTATTGCCAGCTGAGAGGAAATGGTTTTTATAAGTATCCCTACAATTGCAGTGGCTACTTGGCATGCGAAAATGGTTGCACAAATTTGGATTACTGCCAACCGGATAAGCTTTTTAATATGTGGCTGTATATCTGCGATACGCCCAATTCCGTATATTGTGATCCAATACCACTTCCAACAACAACAGGACCCAATGATAAAACAACCACTTCAATACCTACAACTCTTTCAACTCGTACCACTCTTCCTTCTGGTGGCTTCACCACAACTGAAAGTTCTACCACAGAAGTGGCATCAACCACTACACCTGGACTTCCCTCAGATGTTGATCCCAATGATTGTAAAGACCTTCCCGATGGCACTCTAATAGCTTACATTGGAAATTGTTCCGAGTACTTGATTTGTAAAAACAATCAAGTGGAAATGGGGAGCTGCCCTCCTCCTCTGCTATTCAATCCTGACTGGCGAGTTTGCGATGATCCAGATGATGTTGTATGCCTTGCAGATCGCACCACCACACCGATTCCAACAACCAAACCGACCACAACCACTGAGAAAACAACTATCGCAACGACAACAACCACGGAAGCCACAACTTTGGGACCCGATCAATTTTGTCAAGGTCAAGAGATAGGTGCTTCTTTTCCCTACACCGAAGACTGCAGCAAGTATTATTTGTGCTTGGGCAACGGACAGTGGATGATTGCACCTTGTATATATAATAGTTACTTCGATCCCAAGACAGGTGAGTGTGGACCCAATGTGTCGCCCGATGCTTGTAGGGCTTCACAATCTACCACAACCTCTACAACTTCTGAGGCCACAACAACCGAAAGGGTTACCACCCCCAAAACCACAACTAGAGAACCAACAACAACCGAAAAAACAACCACAACAACTGTGGCGCCAGACACTGGAATTTGTAGTGGTCGGAATGAAAACGAGAATATAGCTTATCCCAACAAGTGCAACAAGTATATTGTGTGTATTTCGCCAATTCCCATAGCTTTCTTCTGTCCCGATGATACATTCTTCAGCTCGAAGTTACAGAAGTGCATTGAAAGTTGGGAAGAAAGTGACTGTGAAGGCGATCAGAGTACTACGACTTCAGAACCAGGATATACGCGTCCACCTCCTGAACCCACAATGTGCACAAATAGCAGTAGGAACACTTTCCCATATTCGGAAAACTGTCAGTGGTTCATACGTTGTGTGGATGATTATATCTACATGATGGACGTCTGCAATTGCGGGGAATACTACGATCCAGTAACAGAGAAATGCGGTGCTGGTGTTCCATCGGACGCTTGTCGATGGGATTACACTTCAACCACCTCGACAACCAGTGAGCCGACTACAACCACAGCGGTTACAAGACCACCACCACAGAAGGGACCTTGTGATGATGTCGAAGATGGTGCCCTAGTTCCTTATCCCAACGATTGCTCAAAGTACATAAAGTGCGATAGACCCATAGCTGTGGCCAACGATTGCGATGAAGGGAATGAGTTTAGTGTGGAACTAGGAAAGTGTGTAGATGCTTCTCTGGCTAATTGTTCGATAACAACTACTGCTAAACCATCGGAATCAACTACGACTCCAAGTGAAGCGGAACCGTCATCAAGCACAACTGCACCAACAACGGAAAAATCTACTGTATTAACAACAGAATCTTCTACTGAAGTAACCACAGAATCGACGACTGAACTATCAACAGCATCATCCACTGAATTAACGACCGACTTATCTACAGTATCATCAACTGAATATCCAGCCGAATCCACGACAGTCGAGTCCTCCTCAACAGAATCCGGAACGACTTCAATAGATTGCACTACAACACCAAAACCTGCAGAGGGAATCTGTGGAGGCAAGACGGACAATTCTTCGGTTCCCTATCCCAGAAACTGCAGCAAGTATATAAAGTGCCAATATCCGATACCTGTTGGATATGACTGTCCGAATGGCCTGGAGTTCAGTCCCACAGAACTATCCTGCATGGATCCCGAGTTAGCCGGTTGCAGTCCGAAGGTAACCACTCCAGGGCTCTCCACTTTAACTACTGAAGCCTTGAATACTACAGAGTCAACAACTACACCATCTATAACAGAAATAACAACAGTTTCAACAACGCCAAAGACAACTACTTCAGAATCAACAACTACCAGGGAGTCAACGTCAGAGTCTACATCAGAAAGTACAACCCTTTTAACAACTCCACAAATAACCACTACAGAACCAACAACAATTTTAACAACTCCAAGGACAACCACCCCCGAACCAACAACTACTACAGAAATAACTACAGTTTCAACAACTCCAATGACAACAACCACAGAATCAACAACAGTTTCAACAACTACATTATCAACAACAATTTTAACAACTCCAAGGACAACCACCCCCGAATCAACAACTACTACAGAAATAACTAAAACTTCAACAACTCCAATGACAACAACCACAGAATCAACCACAAATTCAACAACTACAGAATCAACAACAGTTTCAACAACCACAGAATCAACAACATTTTCAACAACTACAGAATCAAAAACAACTACTGCGCCGCCCCCAGTAACACTGGATCCGTACACCCCCAATATTTGTTGTGGACAACCTCTGGGAACTTTGCTAGCCTATCCCAATGACTGCAGTCGTTATGTCGTTTGTGATTATCCGATTCCATATGCCGTGGATTGTGTCGAGGGAACAGTTTTTGATGAGAAACTTCTTCAGTGTACAGCTACGCCCAATGAAAGGTGTCTATTTGCTGAATTTTAAGTAATATGAATCAATAAAAAAAGCAAGCCCAGCAATACAAAGTGTCGCCCCTTCCGTCCTTTTCCAACCCTCAAAATCAATTGTGTAAATGCACAAATGCTCAGTAATTGAGAATCACTGCACTTCAAGTGCTTTATAAGTCCCTTTTTAAGTGTTCAACATTTTAGGCATATACAGTGCTCCAGTTCTGGTATCAATAACATGCAAACCCTTTTCCGTAATTTCTCGCAACCAAGCGAAAGCTGAAACGAAACCATGCTAGGAGAAAAAAGAAGATAATTTACCACTTAACACAGTCGATTCCCCCGACAGGTAACAACAGCCGATTGGAATTGTAGAACCTCCTGGCAAAAGGATTGCCAACGAAGACCCTCAAGGGGACGCAAGCACAGGGAAGGATTTTTAGCAACAGGCTAAAAGCAATTTCCCCTTGACAATGCCACATCTAATATCTGCTCGGTTACAAGTTTCAGCCATTTATCGTAGTTTGATACTGCCTTTCTTGCCCCAAAGCTCAAGCCCTCGGAAGCTCGTCTAATCAGATTTGGGGTTGGCCACATAAAAACACAATTGCCAAGGAATTATCCCAGGAGTGTGAGGAGCTGGCAGGACGTATACAACTGGGGGTAAATATAACAAGCACAAGGATAAGTTGTTCAGCATTGTTGATGGTAAAATCGAAGGGAAAAAAGAAAGAAAACCAAAGCGAGTTATGTATGTGAGTAGCAATGACAGTAACGACACAAAATGAACACAATTTGAGCAAATTGTTTGGCAATAATGTTAACTTAATGCGTTCCATTTGTCGCACTTCAATCGACAGACACGCGCGTTGGCGCTCCTTCGAGTGATTTGTAACGCTTTGATAGCTCCCCAGGACAAACAAGGATTTGTGCTCGTGTCTATAGGGATAATCATGGCGGCGCCCACAAAATTGAGCAACAAGTCACACGAAATCCATTTAATTGAAGATAAGACTTGGCCTTACAGCCAGACCGATTAAATGATTTTAAATGGGATTTTCTTATTAAATGGTCATAAATTAAATCTTGATTGGCTGGGTGTCATACTAAACTGAATCTCGTTGCCAAAACAGGGTAATAAAAAAACAATTTCGCTTAGATTTGCCTAGCCAGACTTAGTTGAATCACAGCCAAAAGTGGAGTGCTGCCAAAAAGTGTTAAGGAAGGAATAACCAAATAGATGAATACTTTTTAAAAAGGCAATTTAAAAAAAAATAAATTAGTAACAAATATAATTTTTAGGGCAGATTTTAAATTTCTTAACACTTTTAAAAATCACGTTTTTATAAATTTTTGAGCTAGTATGTATTATTATTTTAAAAAGGTTAACCGACATTCGGCATCCCACCAAAATTCAAAAATCTCATAAAAGTACCATTAAATGCATGCATAATCTGTGCCAAGAATGCAAGGCATTACAATTTTATAGTGAAAGTTGGGGCGCATAAACAACACTTAAAACTAATTACAGGTAGGAATTCCCCAAATAATTGCTGAACGAAGCCAACTTAATGGAGGGTTAGAAGGAAAACTTGCTCAAAACTCTCAGCTTGCTACGATATCCAGACATAACTAACAATTATCAAAATCTCAGAGCGCAGCGGTTGAAGGAGAGACAAATCGCAGCCAAAACATTTTCGAAGCACTCGACACATGTTGGTATATCAAATTGCCATTCCCGAAACTCCGGCAATCCCCTTTTCCCCTCGTTTGCATTTTGGCATGGGGTTATAGTTTATGAAACTTTGCTGGCGCATATTAATGTGCAATTCCATCCATTTATGTAAAATGTATTTTATGTTCCCCGCGAGAATTTCGCTCCATGCTGCATGCCCCAGCAGTTAGACAGACAGGCAAAGTTCTGGCCTTTCGCTGTTGTTTTGCCTTGTTTATGCCATATTAAATGCCAACTGGATGTAGAGAAAAATTCATTGCGAAAATTGGTAACTTTGAAATATTTATATTTCGGCAAAATTTCATAAAAAGCTTATACAAAATAAATGGGTATGGAAAAACCGGAAAAATGGTTTGCTAGTATTTATGAAAACATAATCAAATGTTATGGCCAGTTAGGGGCAAAGGCAACTAATCTCATCTGATGCGGACTGAGTTTGTTTTTTTTTTTGTTTTGTTTTGTGGATGGGGGAAAATGCACTTAACTGGTGTTTGGCTTTCGGTTTTGAGTTCAGTGAACTGAAAACTTTTATGGGTTTTAAATAAATATTTTGATTTAATGTTAAAAGCTTTATACTTAGAAAGTACACAAATGAAGCAGAGGTAATTGGTGTTTAATATGCAATCAAGTCAAATAAATATTTATATTTTTATTAATACGACTATCAATATTGACACTTTAGTCACCAAATTGGTTTTCATAAACACAGAGTAACTTAATCAGAAGAAGCAAGTTCAATCTAAAAGTTATTCCATTTTGGCGCAGATCAAAGTTAAAGCAAATTTCCAAAATTGAGGGCATCGTAAAATACTTGACCAATTAATTGGATAACTTATTCTGACCTGCCTTTTTTCCCCAGCCTTATTTCGGTCACCTAAAGCAATCCATCCATCCACTCAAGTAAACCTCAACTTCTCTTAGAACCCCAACCACTTTCAGTGAGATAACAGCATGTAAGCGTTGTCATAACACGATCCGGTCATATAAAAACAAAATTCGCACAAATTTAACGCCTCCGACGCAGACGTTTAGCTTTTTATGGCTCCGTCACGCCTCCCTGGAAAAACTCCACTGCCGCCCACTCACATTCATATTCATAAAAGCCAGCGACTCATCATTATTTGTCAGGGATGCGTGTAAACAAGTCAACAAAAAAGAGCGAAAGACAAAAATCATGAGTCACGCATAAAATTTTATGAACTGAACGGGGCGGGAAAGGATATAGGATGGGAAATGAAGAGTGCGGAAGAAAATGTGAATCCCGGGCGACATTGCGTATACGCAGCGTGGGGTGCAGGTTTGTGGCTTAATTAAAAATCAGCGTGCGGTTTTAATACAGTGAGATTCATGACGGAAGTAACAATTTAAACAGGTATTTCATAATTATAATGGTCTCAATTTTTTAAGGAGAATATATTTTTATAACTGCCTAAGTAACTAGATAATAAATGGGTTCGTGGATTTATATAAAATACAGGGAATTGAAAGCTGTTGTATGGTTTCTATTAGCAGATAAGTATTTATTTAAAAAAATTTATAAAAAGTTTTCACTAAAACAATTTTCTCTTGAGGATTGTATTGCCATTATTCAACGCACTGCACTGAACCACCGACGACTGTTTTAATTAACGGAGAAGCACAAAAGGCGAACTGCCCGCAGGTGGTTTCTGTTGGTTTAAACAATCTCTGAGCTGTTTACATTTCTTGATATTTATTTCTTCTTTGCATACCAAACATTCCTTTGTCAGTGATTTGCTTTTGGAACCGAAACCGAAATAAGTCGCAGAAGAAAGTGAGCGGAGAAAGCGAGAGTGAGTGCGAATTTAATTAAATTGATTTCCGTCCCCCCGTCGTGCGATTTTAATTAAACCTTTTTTCGATAGATTGAAAAAGAGAGGAAAACGATTTAGCAAACTGCTACTAAAAACTGCAATGTTCTTTGAGGTTTTTACCCACTCCCATGTATTTTTGCTTTAAGAACTTCCATTGCTCAAAGTTGGCGAATTGTAAATGTTGTTATTACAAGCCGGGCGGCCAAACAGCCCACAATTGGCTTTCTTTCATGCTAGCAACCGAAGTTCAGCTACAAGTCAAAGTTTCCCTCCTGCATGTGTACTCAACTCGGTTCGGAGTCGTGTGTTTATTTAATATCTATAAAATAAATTAAACATTCATATTCCGTTTATTTACTTAGGCAAATTGAGTTTTCGCAGTTGACATGCTGAATACGCTAAAAAACGAGAAGAAAGTTCAGTAGAAAAGCTGGAGGAAAACGCGAGTCATGTAGGCGGGCTGAAAACCCAGCAGGTTGAACCAAGAAAAAAAAAAAGAGTCAAAAGTTGGCTCCGTCATCCACATCGGGTCTGTAAACAGGAAACGAGTGTCTGTTGCATGCAGAGAGTGACAAATGTCATGAAATATTCAAATTGGCAGAAGTGTTGCTGTCGCTGTCGAAGTCACTTTGGCCCTAACACATTTTAGGCAAAAGTTTGGCGCACAACTTTAATTGGCGCCAAAAAAAAAAGTGTACATTTTTCTGGCACATTTATCACGGCCAAGGAACCTTAACAGCTCATAATTGGCAATTGAGTACAATATAGAATATCATAAATACATAAAACCCAACCTTTTTGGGGGTCAGACAGGGGCACACAGCCACCGAGCATAAATCACGAGCCTCTAAGCCATGGAAAAAACATTTGTAAGTTGAGCAAGAACCGCAAACACTTCTCCCCACATAAAGTACACACATGGAAAACGCTTCGTTTTCATTGTGTAAATATTTAAGCAAACAATAAAATTCGAAACAGGAGCAAAGCCAAAGGCGGGAGGGCAGTAGTAGCAGGTGTCAAATGTTGCGGCCAAAAGGAAAAGCAAAGTCAGTTACACCATGAATTTCCTCTCTGTCCCGCTGCCCGGTTAGAAAATTTATGACAAACTGTGGCAGACACACCAAATGTTTGAATTTGCCCATATGTTAAGAATAAAAAGTAAATAAGAAAGGTGTAAGTCAGTAATGCACGAATCACTGGTACCTTTTCTTATTTAAATTAAAAAAAATTGATTGAATTTAATTATATTCGTAATAGTTATATATCTTGATTATATTCCTTTTATTAAAAGGAACTAATTAAGTTCGTATTTCTTTTGATTTCATGCACATTTTTCATTCTAATTCATCAAACCAGCATACCCAAGCATTATCCTTACCAAAAAAGAAACCCAAAAATTGCTTTGCGGAACTTTTCAGTACGTGCCACTTTGGATAGGCACGAAGTTGTTGCAGCTGCTTTGGACCGCCA